ATGAAATAGTGAGATTTATATATAAGTTGCTGAGCCGTTTTCCTAGTTTTATTCGGTGGTGTTTCAGCTAAACGTGAAATCGAAAAACGCTAGCTGGGCAGCGCGAATACGAGTTGAGCAGTGTATCAAATTGCCACGTAAGTATGATTTAAATTTTGGCTTTCTGACATTGTAAGAACTCTTAGGCTCAGCATATTTTATATTTTTAAAATTATTTCGTAACGTCAACATTTATAATTAATATTTTTTGCGGAGGGAGGAGGCGAAAAAGGTGAGTAATGGATTGGTATTTAGCTTTTTACACTGGATTTGTCGGTTTCTAACCTTGAGCGGGACATTTTCTCTTTTTAACAGCCAAGTCTCTTCATCATGGAAGTTACTCCATAGCGATTCGGTGCAATAGCTCAGAAAGTTGACTTGTGTGCGAACAAAAGTGTTAGCATGGCGTTTTGATATTGCTGTGACAAAGCGGGCGAAACGTACGGCTATGCTGTCTGATGCCTCCGCCTTCCGACTGTAATCCACGTGTTACCGGGCTAGAAATCAGCACGAGATGTGATAGTAAATTCAGAAATAATTTTCATTTTAATATCTTCTTTAAGACATTTGCGTCGGCTAATTTTTATCCGCCCGCGTCGCTTGAACCGGTTGGTTGAGCCTTCCTTTCTGGAGGCATTTGCCCAAACCATCGCAGTTGTGACTTCTCAGTCTGGAGAAGCAAAGGCTGTACACCAAGGCTCTTCCGGATGTCAGTATTCCGCATCATGCCGAGAGGCATAAGGCCAGCGAGTCGTCTAAGAAAGCCCATTTCAGCTGCTTGTACCTGGGTTCGAAGTTTTCCAGTCATGGTTCACGACTTAGTTTTCAGACTGAGCTCTGCTTTAGTCACAATGGGTCGGGCTCGTTCACACAGAATGCCACTGGCTACTCCAATTCGCCGGTCGATCTTTTCCTCCAACTTTCCATCGCTAGTAAATACGACTCCGTGGTGCTTGAACATCTCCATCTGCTCCACTGTTTTTTCGTTAATCTGAAGAGAGCAGCAGGAAGGGGAACGAGAAGGGGCTTTTTATTTGAGTTAGGTTCACTCCCACGCTAACCACCTCGTACCCGCCTGCGATCCTTTCCAGAAATTGCTGGAGGTCAGTTTCAGAGAAGACTAACAACACAATATCGTCTATAAACAGCAGCCTTCTCGTTTTGACACATTCTAGGCTGATACACGTAGCGGCCTTGCTGCACGTGACTGTTCCATCCATGTACAGAAACAGGAGAGGGGACAGAATACAGCTTTGACGGAAAACAGAGCAAATGCTGAAAAGTTTCGACTTAGCGCCATTTGATGCAGTTCCTTATATCCTGGTGATCGATCCCAGATGATTGCAGGCGCGGCAGTAGATTGTGCACGGATACGGTCATGGACTTTTTCCAGGTTAACAAAGCACAAAGCACATGTAAACTGGATCAGCAGATTTCCATGATTTTTCAGCAGTCTGGCGTAAAGCGAGGATCTGATCAAATGTATTTCGGCCTGACCTGAAGCCACACTGCTCTTGTATATTAGGGTCAGTTATAACCCAGCACTTGCTTTCTAACGTCTTTGTGTAGACTGTTCCAGGAAAGTAAAATAAAGTAATGCCTGATAACCGGAGCAATCTCTATGGTCTTCGTTTTTGAATGGGGGTTACTACGACGGCTGACCTGCCAGAATATTTTGTTTGTCATCTGGAAGTTCGACAACAGCAGCTTACTAAACTTTGTCGAAGAATCAGATTTAGCTTTGGTTACTGTTTTCGTTGCGGCCTTTCGCGTTTCTTCGTACCGCATGCGAGTCAAAGGCTCTCTGCTTCCAAGCCATCTCTTAAATGCAGCCTTATTTTCGGTGATAGTTGTATCTCTCGTGTTCATCAAGAGATTCATTTCTAACCTCCAGGCTTCAGACCAAGCCGTTTTAAACCGCAGCATTCAGCGGTAACGCGGAGTAAATCGCTCTTAACGAGCGTTCACTCGGTTTTCACATAACTGGTCTTCACTGGAATCTGATAAAACCGTCGTGAGTATTGTTTGTGTTTTGCCCGCGTATTTCCAAGAGATTTTTTCCCCAGGAGATTTGTTCGCCTGGTTTCTTCTGCCTCCAGGTCTTAAAGTGGTACTCCATCATTTACAGTGAACAGTGCCAGTAACAAGGTGATGACCGATTGACAGCTTTGCAGCTCTCTTAACGCGAACGTCCGTTACAGAGCGAGCTTCATATGTGAGACGATGCGATTATCAAATCGGTCATCGAATTCTGTTGAGAAACTTCTCGTATTCTAAGTGTACTAATTTACGCTTCGATGCTCGAAGAAGGTGTTTATAACAGACAGTCCGTTATTTGCATAAAACTGCAGTAATGTCATTCAGTTATTCTTGAGATCGCTAGGGCCGTTATTTCCAATCACTCCTTTCCTCTTTTCAGTGTCTGCTCCG